AGTCCTCAAGAATTTGTAATTGTAATTTGTAAATAATAATATCATATAATATGTGCCTAATTATTTAAAATATTAAATTTAATAAAACTATTCTTGGTACAATATATATGTATGAACTGAAGGCAAGGAAATTTTACGTTTGTGTCCAAGATTGATATTATAAGAAAATTAATTTTTCACTGCCACAATTTTAAGGGTCAATAGCAACATATTTATTGCATTAAAGTCAAGTGAAAGCTTTAGCTGACTCATAACAGAAAATCATACTTGGCCAAAAAATGGTCGCCCGGTTACAAGCCTCAGCAGGTTACCGTTCCTGCTAAAAAACGCATGGGTCAACTGAATCTATTCCTCCGACATAACCATAGAAAGAAGATGATATAAGAGAAGATTGAACCAAAAATTCCATGCATTTATTTTATATCACAAGAGTCGTTTAGCAAACAACAACAGACCTTCGTCCCATGCTTTCCCCTGGCTTCCAACGTGAGTAGGAATATTACAAACCTTTTTACAATCTTACCGTCTCACATACCAACAAGAAAACGTCATACCAGGATACAGATGTAATCTTACTCACCTGCTAAATATAGTTCGACATCTTTGAGATATAGAGATATTTTCAGTAGATTGTGTGTTGTTTACAACACTTCTTTCTTCGTCGGCCATATTGAAAGTCAGAACCAGGCCTCGAGATGTGCTCGATCAAAACGAGGATCGTGGACTGGGCGCTATTTTCTTTTTTCCTTTCCGCGGATTTCCGTTTCTTTCTTTCACTTTTTTCAGGTTTTTTTTTTGTTTTTTTTCCCTTCTTCTTCTTCTTTTCTTTCCTTTTTTCCTTTCCTTTTCTTTTCTACCCTTTCCTTTCTTTTTTTCAACTTGTTATTCTTTTTTTATTTTTGTATTTTAAGAAACAAATGTATTTCTTTTAATATATTTGATTCCAAAATTGGCTTCATCTTACATGTGAAAGACGTTTGCTTTCGTAAACTAAGATCCGTTTACCATACAGAAATATTTAAAAAATCATAATAGAACAAAACTAATAGGAATCCATAGGAAATACGAATTATTAAATGTGGTTAACTATTTTTTAACTATTTTATTGGAACTGGTATTGGATTTTCATCAATCCAGGAGGTTTGAGAATTAAATGTAGAAAAAGAATTTTTTCTAATTAATTACTATTTGTTATTTTGTCAATTTTTAATTTTGCATGATAATATCATTGCATCTAGTTGTATTTATTATTTTTACCCCACTGTTTCTCCTCAAAGTCCTGCTATACGCAGGGGAGGGGAGGGACAGTATAGCACAACCCTCATTATACATTCATACATCAGCCGAGCAATACCTGTCTAAATAAGGTCAGTCTTACCAAATATAAAACCTTTGCATCGTGTTATGATTTTCTGTAATTCATTTACGAAGGCCCCATTTGTTGGTGACAAGATACTCAAAGGTAAGATCAGCTGAGCTTAAACCCACTATTTTTCCCTTTTCTAGCGTAAATAATAATCTGACAGAAATCTTAGTGAGTTCTCCTTCGCCAGAAATGTTTTTCGTCGTTGTATTACGACTCGATCGCGTTGCCCGCGAAGTTAACTTATATCCAACATGAAACACTCACAACTACACCGGTCAATCGAAACGTCTATAAAATTTAAATGTTTTTATTGTATTGTAGGTGTATCTTCTCTAGCTCCTTGAGACCAGAAGGGATCAAACACTTGTGGCTTCGATCAGTTAACTAAGGCCTACACCGACCCTCGAACACTCGATCAAGAGGCGCGACTCTCACTGATCAAAAACGAGTAAAACATCGTTTGTTCTGACAAGAAACATGTCGAAGCGATGAGCTATACTAGATTTCGAGACATGGAACCTGCTAGGCTTAAACATAAGTATTTCTATCAATTTAGGATCATTTTGATTGGAGATAGTACAGTTGGAAAGTCTTCATTGCTTCGGCAATTTACTGAGGGACAGTTTTTCGAGAACTCTGATCCGACTGTTGGTGTGGACTTTCACGTTCGGGTCATCGAACTTAAAGGTATTAAAACTATTTTTCTAGCTTTTTGGGAGTTGGTTATCATATCCTATTCGATCATCCGTATATATAGGATCTGTCTAAAATTTGATCAAAAAGTTTATGTAAACATAAAGACTACATAACTTCAGCTTACGTACATTTAATATATGTGTACAGTATTCTCGAAAATGCACGTAAGTATAAAGTTATATATGGTAAGTTTTTCTTTATAGAAATTGAAACAGACCATATCCTATTCTTTATTACTAATCTAACCACCCAAACAAGTGGTTTTTTATCTCTGACGAATGGGGGGAATATCAGGCTACATTTCGCACGCATCGCACCAAAAACTTCATGTTAAACGATGTCTGACAGCTTAGACAATACTTTAATATTAATGATATGTCGTTGAGCAAGAAACAAGGATAACTCCCTTCTTAACAACTTTTCAACACAGCTGAAATTCATAATTACTTTTAAAAGCTTTTCGTACTATTTTTAATGTTGTTTTATGTCTTTATTGTTCATAATCTTTACTTAAAACTTACGCAAAACACGCTAATCCTTCATTATCTCTTTGTTTAAAAAAGCCTTAAAGATTACGAAATTGTCGATCAACTAATAATTACGACATCGAACTTTACAACTAGTTGCTTTTGTAAGAGTTTTTATTGTTACTTTCAAAAATAAGAGTCAGTGTGCTGACTATCAACATAATTTTGTAAATATTTGCATGGCATGCAACAAGAAGTTTATTAATAGTGTTAACCTCACAATCATTCCAAATATGGCTAAAACATTTATACATTTTCATAAATTTTCGTGGCATTTGCTTTCTTTTGACAAAACTTTATCAAGTTGTTTCGTAAAGAGCAAAACTGTTTTAACTGGTTTACTACGATAATTTCATTGCCTAATGATTAAGAAACGATAAAACAATACAGCTAGGTATTAAAATCCAGGTAATTAGTTTTTATAACGTTAATTATTCATTAGAGCTCTTGTCATTTTGTGCAAATAGAGAGAGACTTTAATGAGATTGTGCAATTATTGATATCCAAACAAGTTTCAAAAATTGCCTTAATTACCAAAGATACGGCTGTATAAAATAACTTGCATGACATGATCATTTTCCATCTAATGGACTGTCAAGAAATCTCTCAGCAGCCAGATAGAGTGCAAACAATATAACCCTGAAACTTTAGCAATACGTTCTATAAATAGCACAATTTCATGCAAATTCCATTGTTTTCTATTTTTTAATTAGCACTATGTTGTACTCTTTAGTAATTAGTGTTTCACGGATAAATTGTTTGCACTCTAAGAGGCTGGACACTTCTTTTGATGCTAGGGTTTAATTAGTAGCAAGAAACAGGAAGAAAACTGTTTTTATTGCTATCAACATGGTGATTAATATAAATTCCTTAATAGAATTGGAAAGAAACTATGACGGGGATTGCCCATCTTACCAGGTAGATAGAGTATTGACTCTGCAAATTGAGCAAACTACTTCCGAAATCCAATGTCATGTCAAAGAGCATAAGAAGTGCACAGGGAACCCAATCTCTGAAAAGTGCAAGTAGTATTCCAGGAGTTTGTCATAGGGCATGTTTGACTAGTGTCAGAACCAGGTCTTCATTAATTACAATGCAATGATATATTCTAAAAGTATGAATCAAATTTATAGCAAATTTATAGTTTTTTAGTTTTTTTGATAATGATATCATTTATATCTTTACAGGAGATGTTAGAGTCAAGCTTCAAATCTGGGATACAGCTGGTCAAGAAAGGTTCCGTTCGATAACATACTCCTACTACCGTAACACTGTTGGCTGTTTGATTGTCTACGACATAACAAATAGAGACTCGTTTGTTAATGTTTTGGACTGGTACAAAGAAGCCAAGCAATGCGTCGAAGAATCGGAAGTTGTATTCATGTTGGTTGGTCACAAAATTGATAAAGAATCTAAAAGAGCTGTTTCGACAGAAGAAGGGGAAAGGTTTGCAGAAGCTCATGATATGCTATTTATAGAAACTTCAGCCAAAATTCTTTGCAACATAGAGGAGGCTTTTATCAGTGTTACTGAGGAGATTTATAAACGCATGGAAAGAGGAGAGTTAGGACTGAAAGATGGATGGGAAGGCATCAAGGCATTACCTATGCGTCCACAGGATGTGTTAGGAATTGGACATTCTGCCTCTGTTGAGGATTTGATTGAGCAACAGGAATCCAGAAGATGTTGTCCTGGGTAACAACAATCATGATTTTAATCATTAATTCTATCACAATTTTTTTATTTATTTGAATTTTTAAGTTCATTTAAAAAAGTTATTAGAAGATATAACTAGCTAAAAACTAGTGTGAGCTGCGTCATTGTTTCGAATGAAACAGTTATGATAAAAAGGTAAATTATACACCATTAAAAGATGTATTTTTCATCTTTTCGCGGTGTATAATTTACCTTTTTATCATTACTGTTAAAAAAGTTATTATCATTTTTATTATTTTCTTGAGTCAGTGGGCAACTTGTATCCCTTGCGTTAATTACTCTCAATATTCTGCAAACAGACATTCCAACGGCTTGTTTTGAAATTGGCAACTTGTATCCCTTGCGTCAATTACTCTCAATATTCTGCAAACAGACATTCCAACGGCTTGTTTTGAAATTGGCTTTTTGCTGCCATCAATCAAAAAAACTAATTTGTTACCTTTTATATTTGAATGAGGGGAGTGAAAAACCAAATTCCAATGGGCACTAACAGAGTTCTCAGAATATTGAGAATTGCATTAAATGTGTGTCAGAAAGAAACTAATTTATATTCTAGCTGTGTGGTAATATTTTAAGTAATGAGTAGAAATAATTGTGAGTATTCTGGTATGGGTTGCACTAGTGGGTTGTTTTATGTAATAATTATATTCACTACTAAGTTTGAGTTTGCAAGTTTAAATCATAATCATAATCATACAAAAATAATAACTTTTAATTAAATGTAAAAATCATTCCATTGTTTTAATTTTTATTTTACTGCATGCATGCTTATAAATGCACATAATGAACTTGTGGAAAAATATTATTAGAATTATATAGTCTTTTGATTTTAATTAAGGTACAATAATAGCACCATGAGTCAGTTAGTACTTTTAATTTACTGCAGTATATTAATTGTCTGCAAACTCTCCAGACCTGCCAAATATATCTTGATTTGGTCTTAAAATATTTTTCAGGCAATGGCAGGCTTACTGATTTAATAAAAACTATAATTTTCAGTTATGAGTTGTATGTAACCTGAAGAAATTATTAATTGGAAGAAAGAATATTAATAATCAAATATAAATTTTCTATAATTATTCTTGCCAAATGTATATGATCATAAGACCTGTCCAGATGGCATCCCACTCGTGTGCTGGACTCAAATGATAAATTTATAAGTTCATCAAAAGAGCTGATCCTGAATCATTTAACTGCGATTTTCATAAACATGCAAACTCTGTGTCTTCATGCTGAAATTTGTTTTTCGCTGCCATCGATCAAATCTTATAAGGTGGTACCTTCATACTTTTGACTTGCCATAGTGAAAAACCAAATCGGAGACACAGAGTTTGCATGTTAATGAAAATTGCAGTAATTGGTTAAAGACAGTTTTATGTTGGTGCAGACAAGCCCACCATGGTATTCACTGCCAAGTATAATTTGGCAGGGATTGCAACATTATGCAACACTTAAGGGACAACTGATTCAGACAACACTCTTGTCAATTATTTTGTAGTGTCTTATGCAGCCACTATTAGTGTCGTCACACAACGCCCACTAATGGGAGTGAGCATTGAGTGGCAACATTAATATAATAGTGGCTGCATTGAAGACTAATTATTTTTCCAGACTTAAAACATAATGTATGAAACCTGGAGATATTTTATTCCTAACTTCCCTTTATAGAATATAATTAGGTTGGCAGCACAAGTATGCTGTTTCAATCAATTGTTGCTTTGTCAATTTGCAAGCTAATTGTCCTGGAGTCAAACTTGGCCAGTGTCATTTAAGTTTTGCATTGATTAGTCTCCCCCACAGCCGCTTTCAGTGTTGTCACGCAACGCTGAAAGCGGCTGTGGGGGAGACTAGGCATTGATATGATTGGACTGGCATCTCAAACAGAGGTCATAGAATTCAAAGCTCAGGAAGCTTTAAATATACCACATATAGGCACTCTTAACTTGATAATTATTTTTAGAAAACTGCTCAAACTACTGCTCAAATTATATGAGGTGTGTGTGTGAAAGGGTTTACATCTGGATACAGGGGCAGATCCAGAGGTGGTTAAAGGGTTGGCTAGCAACCCTGAGCCCTTGGCTCAAATTTCTCAGTATTATTCTTAACCACCCCCTTTTCTAAAATTCCTGGATCTGCCACTGGGATATGTTAAAGGCAAAGAGAGAAACTTCAATAAACAGAAAAATACGATTAGTAAAAATCTGAAATAGGAAAATGACACAGACAAAATCAAAGGTCTTTGTCTTGAAACTGAAGACTAAAAACGAATACTATAAAGACAAGCTTACAATAAGGCAATATTTGCATGATCTTAATTTCTTTGTGTTGCAAAATAAACTAAGATAAAAGTAAAAAAAAAAGGAATTTTAGTTCATCCTTTTGTCCAAATTTATTACATAGCTGGGCCAGTGCATGATCATGCATGGTTTAGTGTTTTCCTTCATAATTTTTTTATCGTCAGAAGTAGACTTCTTTTGGTAATTTTGAATTATTTTAATAGAGTGAAGGCATTTTAAGGAATTTTTACTTGGTCCGTGAATCAAAGTTGTGTAATTAGTAACTAACAGTCAAAGTGAAACAAAAGAAAACAATAGAATTAGTGTCTAATAATATGTATTATGTTGACTATTCTTTCACGGGCAAAGGAAAATCAGTAATTTTTTATTTCTTGCTGGTGTTGGAAAAAATCTTTAAAACGGGCTAAATTAAAAAAATAACCACACAGAGCGGAAGAAGTGCTATTTTTCAATGATCAGGTAAATTTTCGAGACTTTATTTCACGTTTCAATGATTTTATTGAAATTTTTGAAGAATCCCCATAAATTTCCTTATAACATGACACCACAGAAACCAAGCTTGGGCTATCTGTGGTGTGCGTGACGACACTGAAAGCGGCTTTGGGGGGAGACTATCTGTGGTGGTGCCCGCTCAGACTGCTGAGCAAATCGTGCAGGCCGTTGGGCAGAACGGGTCACAGGCAGCCCAAACAATGTATGTGTGCTGCCTTATCATGAAAAAATGGTGAAATTTAGTGATTTTTAACTTCTTCTTGTGTAGTTTCAAGGTGTGTTTGTTCGTTTTTTCTCCTGCTTCTACAATTTTACGGTTTTTTCAACATAGGATAGTCGGCACAGCCTCATTGTTTGGGCTGCCCGTGAACGAATACCCTATCATGTGCTAGTAGTAACTCCATGGTCTGAAAAAAATCGTAAATAAAATTTTATCATAAGAGAAATGAACATACCTTGATCTTAAATTGTTCCTAATTTTGATTTCACAGTCAAATTTGTCTCTTTTGCTCTTCTGTATGTCTAAGCAGTTCATACCTAGAAACCTGAACTACCAACCAATCAAATGACCGCATTTCAGGCACACATTAAATCAAATAGTGGCAATACTACTTGACCATCCAACCAATCCGAACCATCGTGTTACTCAAACACTGAAAATTTGGACCGTGCAATATTTTAGACAATAATAGGGCTATCTATGCACCTTATTTGGCCCTCTTCTTCAGTCTTCATACAAGGCTCGTAATTTACCTATTACGCATGTTCTTATATGATTTCCGAGCCCATCCCACACGGCTTACCGCCTCATCTCTCATATAATATATACTAACTACTTCCTGGTATTATTATCATCAATATTGTATTCATTGGCGTCAGTCAGATTTACACCAGCGTTCTTCATTAACTAAATTATGTTGAATTGTTTGTCAGAGAATACTGATTTGTTGCCTATTCTTAATTAATAAATAGACTGTTCAAAATAGAGCATAAATTTTAATAATAGAAAACCCTGATGGTTTTTTTGAAATAGTTGCCAAGTGAGAATTCAGTCTTCAACAATACCTTCTATATGTATATATAGAAATAAAGTCCATGATCCTCGGGTCTTACCGCGAACAAATATCAGTTGCCGTTCTTCACTATACGTGAATCGTATGTAGAAAGCGAAGCAAAGTTCACAGTAGGCAAGTGAAAAAAAATCGTATTTTGTGCTTTATATTACGTCCTGTAAAAATGTAAAGTTTGAACCATGAAATTTACGTGAAACACTTTCGCAAAATTTTGGGTTACATTTTAAAGATTTCTCCTGCGATGTAAAATATACCTTCCTTCTGATTTATTTCTTTGCTCATCCGTGCGTGTATTTTGTTTTTGTTGTTGTTGTTTTCACTTTTTTATATCTTAAGAGTGTTATTTGTATATTTAATAGGACTTTCAGTCGTGCAGATACGAGAGTATACCTTTTAGCCCAAAGCGGAAAAGGGATGGACTTGGATCAAGGTACACGCCTGTCTATCATTCTAGTGATCTTCCTTCTTACCTCCGTTAGTAATGCTAGTGTGGGAGTAATGATGTACCGGTTCAAAAATCTACGAACAATTCCCAATCTTCTCATCCTAAGTTCATGTATCGCTGACATTCTCAACCAATTCTTCAACATTCCTGGATTCGCGGCTGGGTATATCGCCAGGGATAACGAGTACTTCGTCGGACGAAGCCTGGCCCTCGCTCTATCCACCTTCCATCTCTTCTTTGTCCTGGTAAATCTAATGTCAATGACTCTGATGATGGTTGATAGACTGTGCGCGTTTAAGTTCAACCTCGCGTATCGGGTGTGGAGGACAAGATCCAAGGCTTACAAGGCAATAGCTGTCAAATGGATATCGTGTTTCGTAATATCCATGGTTGTTCTGGTTCCAATCTGGGATATAGACCTTGGAAACGTGGCTACTTACAAGTATCGAAATATTCATTTCGCCAAGAGAGGAATCCTTATTACCTTCATAATTTTCCCGTGTTTTATCGTCAACAATGCTGTGGTTGCAATASCAACGTGCTCTGTTATGAAGCACAAGACTAAGGTGCGTAAAGGCCCTGTTACACGTTGAACGTTTAGCCGAAACTTGTGTGCAATGGTGCTGCGAGACAAGTTTCACGGGGGCGTTACACGCTGCAATTTAGGCTTTGTGAAACTTTCGTCGCGATAAATTTTCACGAAAAGTAGAACTGCTTTCTACTCGTGCAACCGAAACTTGTTGCGAACAAGTTTCAGGACGAAATTACGCCGTGTAACACACAATTGAAACTTGTCTCGCAACGCCATTGCACGCAAGTTTCAGCTAAGTTTCAACAAGAGAAAATGAACTAAGCTTAGTTCATATTCTCTTGGTTTCAACTTGTAACAGGGCCTTAATCATGTCGTTAAAGTTCAGTGATAGTAAATTCAACGAATTTAGAACCCAATTCCAGTCCAATTGGGAGGCTTTTGAATGACTTCAAATAAATGCTCATTAATTCTTCGGGAGGATTAATCTGTTTTCTTGATAACTAAACCTAAATACTAAAAAGGGTTTGAATTCAGCGAGGAAGTGATGAGTGATGAAGCTAACAATACATATGAAGTTTTTGTTTGTGAAGTTGTTTTCACTCTATAAGAAGAGAGCACATTAATGCCTTGCGCTCTGTTCCTCCCTACATAGAGTCCTACGATCAGAAGAAGATGGGGTGACCAGTTTCAGTCGGTTAGCACTTGTTTACATGGACCAAAAGAACCTTTGAGTGCCAAATAGTTCGTTCTATTGTTTTATCAATCCAATAGGTCCTTTTGGTCCATGTGAACGACTGCTAATCTCTGTCTGTTTCGTCAACCAACGGTTTGAAGTTTGCAGTATGCGTTTTATCAAAATATTTGGGTTTTAGAGAATGCCAGAAGCTTTGACCTTCTCCCAGTACTTGATACGATAGCAAAAGTATTCCCTTAGCCTTCTTCGTCTCTAACCAAATTTTTTTTTCCTTTTTCTTGATAAGCAGACCAATGCCAGGAAGATGGGCCTTAACGCCGATTCAGTTCTTGACCAAACACGCAAACTAAGCGAGATGAATGCCATGAAAACAATCGGCGTTACAGTGATGGTTTTCTTCGTGTGTTACCTCCCTGGTACCGTATACGGTATGATGGACAAGATGAAAGTCATTTCTACCAACGAAACCTCATGGTTTGGATTTGGTGCCTACTCTTGTTTGTTTCTACCTGGTCTACTCAATCCGTTTATCTATGCTATTCGAACAAGGCGTTTCCGTAGAGCTTTGGAGTGCTTGCTCAAAGATCCATTCGGCAGCAGTGAAATATCTCAGTCTGTAGATCTAGTCCTAGATAGTCTCACTCTTCGTTTGTTGTGATGGTGCATGTGTTAAAGGAGTCCATGCCGAGAATAATTATCCGAATCGTTCATGACCAGCCAATCACAAGAGCAGATTAGATAGAGTCAATTCAAAAAACGATGTCGTTGACCGACCAGTCAAACCTACGCGACTAAAGCGAATAGGGGTAAAAATCACTGAAGCGGTTAAATATTCCTTCTGAATTGATTGTTCCCGCTAATATAAGATAAAAATGGCGAAAAACAATTCATTAAATGCATGTCTTTGGGTTTAGGGAAAGAAAGACAAAATGATTCAGTTCACATTTCGAAAATATGAAGGCGTTAAAAAAAATGTCCCCTTCAACACTTCCAGCTGGCCTTAGTCTCCCCCACAGCCGCTTTCAGTGTCGTCACGCAACGCTTTCTCCCCTGAGTACTACTCAGGGGAGAAAGCGCTGCGTGACGAAACTGAAAGCGGCTGTGGGGGAGACTAAGCTGGCCTATGAAGGTTCGTGCTTTAAACCAGGCATAACTAGTCAGATAAAATAATGGAGTCAACTCGGCATCAATGATTGCTGCCCAGAGTTCTTTTCAGCTCAGTCGCGTAGGCTTGAGATGGTCGACGACAACGTTTTTTTKAATTGACTGTATACACGTCCATGTGAAGGACAATTAGACCGTGTATACTAACCGATCAAATCGTATTGTACAATGTGACCATAATGGCAAAAATGAATCCGAATTCAAAAGCGTGAATTGAAAGAGCACTCCAAATACTGAAAATTTGGACCCTGTACTTAAATCAATTAACAAGATATGAATTATATTGTTTTAGATCAAGAGCTTAATAAAAGGGGTAACTATCTCCTGGCACTATATTGTATTCATTGGTGTCAGTCAAATTGACAACACCTTTCTTTATTAACTGAACTGATTATGGTGAATTGTTTGTCAGCGTATGTTTGTTGTCTTTGATATTAAGTGATAATTAAACAGACTGCTCAAAAAAGAGCATGGGCTTTAAAATTAATAGAAAATCCTGACATGGTTATTTAGRAATAGCTAATAACTCTGAGAAATCAGTATAGGCACTGCATGGATAGTATTGGAAGGAGAGTTAGTGAGGAAATGAAAAGGCGCGCGCTGCATGTGTACAGTTAACGAATAAATACCAATATAAAAGCACGCGTGGATCGGCAAAAACAACCTAATTGGTGATAATTGTCTTGAACAATACGCCCGGAAAAAAGTTCTCGTCCGTTAGGGATGAACTATTAGATAACTAATGCGGGGGTTGCAGGAACTTTGGTTGCATGATATCATTTGTTTTGGCTCAACCCTTGCGCGTTATTTTTTTATTTTTTGTACAGTTTTATATTTCTCTTCTAGCAAAAGAGGTTGCACGATATTTGTTTTGAGGTTTAAGTGCTTGCTCGATATTTTTGGGGGATTTACGCAACCCCCCCCACCATCAACTATCTAATGGTCCGTCCCTTGGTAATGCTAGTGTAGGAGTAATGATGTACCGATTCAAAAATCTACGAACAATTCCCAATCTTTTCATCCTTAGTTCATGTATCATTGCTGGCATTCTCAATAAGGGAAGACTCACCTCGTACGAAAATATGCCTTTTATATTTGAAACAAAAAATGGACCACTTTTTTAATAACTCCCGGACCACTGTTTAAATGGTGACTACGTCCGTGTACCCATGCACTTTATGTAAATGAAACAAATATATGATTCAAGATATGAGTGTCTGGCTCTCAAATTCTACACCAATAACTTTAAAAAGAAAAAAATGATTTCATGAGACACGACGTATCCATACAGGTGTGTAACCATTCACTCACGTGTCTTGCATACTGTAACAAGGCATTACCGCAAGAAGCTGATCTGAAGACACATAAACGTGACTGTCCATACAGTTGTTAACCATACAAGTGTACACAATTTAATCAACTAGACATTTGCACTGCAAGAAGCTGATCAGTCTAATATAAAGATAAATAACCGTGTCCATACAGGTGTCAACTATACAAATGTACACACTGTAACATGCCATTTACCGCAAGAAGCTGATCTAAAGATATAAGCGTGTCCATACAGGCATTTACACAACAAAAGCTCTAAGGCGAAACCGTGTTATTTTTTACTCGGTTACGTCTTGCTTTTACACGACATCGATTCAAGATGTAATGTGTGAAACAGTGGTGTTTTGAATACGCCGTCGAAAATGGAGTGTTTTGAAAACTATCCGGTTGTGGATCAACGTAAACGGCGAAACCGTGTTATTTTCATTGATTAGGACTCCGTCAGTTTAAAACGGTGGGCTGGAAATGAGAATAGTTTAGACGTCATACCGTTCAGTCGTGAACGCTTCTGTAAAAGCTTCATGAATCCGTATACTATTGAAACCGGGCCCACGTATATACGGGGCCTAAAAAGAAATGAAGAAGTCTAGGTACTTATCCCGCGTTAAAACACCCAAGACTGCGCCTTAGTCCCCCTTTGTCTGTCTTAGTATGGCCTAGTTAAACATATGCATTCACTTAGATCACCTTAGATTGCCTTATTTCGAGCTATACCCTCTCAGTTTTTGACCCATGTTTTTTGGAATATCACTTAGTTCCCTTCGATTGTCTTATATTGCCATTCCTCGCAGCGGGGCCAGGTACGTAGGTCTATGAAGGTTTCCATACAGGTGTCAAGCCATACAAGTATACATACTACTGTGACAAGGCATTTATACAAGAAGCTAAGCTACCGGCTAAAAGACACATGTACGTAAAGAGCGCTTTCACTCACGTGCGAAGACAGCCATATGGACCTCCTCGGCCTGGGCGTAATGTTTTCCCACTTCAGATCACGTGTCATTCCCTAAAATATCTATTTTTTTTTTTAACGCTTGCCCTCGGTTGCACATAAGCAGGCAGACATTATTGATACAACTCAAACAAAGAATCTTATTCTCAAGGGAATGGCACATGTTTTGAAATGAGAAAACATTACGCTAGAGCTGAGGAGGCCTATTGATGTACCAAACAGTCGTCAGTCCTTTTCAGTTGCCACTGTTAAATTCGAATTCCTATAGTATAGAGCCTTTTTACGTGACGTCGCAGCGGCCATCATGGGGTACCAAAACAATACATTTTCTATCCTCCGGGAATTGAACTCTATTTTTATGAAAATACTGTGCAGAAAGTTTCTATTGTTTATGGCTGCCTTCTCACGTGAATGAAAACGCGCTATAGACACTTTTATTTCACCAGATACATCCCTTTCCTCCAGAACTAGAATTATCAAGGCCACAAAAACCATTGCGAGGAAATCCTATCTGAGTGCGAGCAGCTTCTAAAAAAGTGAAACCTTTCTTTGTCGAGGTTGTCCCTACTTTGCGACTCAACTAAAACAAACTAGAGGGGACAAACGAAAAGTAGTAAGAATATCAACATAACACTTACGTTTCAATGTTGTTTTTTTATTTCATTACAACGTTTTTTCAATGTATCTTTGTTAATAAGTATCATGAATGGAAGCTCGCTTCATTGGTTTGACACCTGGTAAAACAGGATATTCGAACCGAGAGGAGATCCCTCTCTTTCGCCCTGACCTGGTGTGTTCAACCAGCACCCACCATTCCCTTGCTACATATTCCTTGCCTCCATAACCAACGTGTGCCAATCCTTGGATGTAGGAGGCTTTACCTGGGATCATGTGGCCATCTGAGTACAGAAACCTGGCCATGTAGACGGGCTGGCCTACAAAATACATACAGATATATAGAATGAATATATACAGAATCATATCAGTCTGCTAATGAATCTATATAACTATAACATATTTGTTGTTTCTGTAGCTTTCTAATGATATACAGTTGATACAGTTGTACTGGTTTGGGTACTTACGGCCATTTGAACCTCCAACAACAGCATTAGCAGGGGGATTGGAGCCACTGCTCTTTTTCAGGGGCGGATCCAGGATTTTTTCAAAGGGAGGGTTGTAGCATTGATTGAGGTACTTGTTTGGCGGGAAAGTAGCATAGGGTTCCCAAACGGAAGTAGGTCTCATGATAATGATTATTTGCTGCAGGCGAGCATGGTTGTTTCAGGTCCCACACACGTCGTATAGAAAAAAAGCGAGCGAAATGTGTTCGGCACCCCTGTTTTAATAAAACTCGTGATGCTGTTGGTGTTGTCATGAAAAAAAAAATAATAATAATAATAAATCACGATGGCTCTCATAGGGGGGGGGGGTTGCAAACCCCAAAACCCACCCCTAGATCCGCCACTGTCTTTTTCCATTCCAAATGTGATTTCCATCCTGGGTTAGTGAGGATCTCATAGTGGTAGCTATTTTCCTCCTTTCYTCCCCAGGGTGCGTGGGCCATGTTGCTGGATTGATCCATTTTTCCAGGAGTGAGGCCAGAGGACAATTGAATTCTGGCAACGTACAGAACCTGAGAAAGTGTGTGTGTAATAAATGGTGGTCAACGTGCACGTATTCTGAAAACTGGGGCTCAAACAGGAGGGTATATACTACTTCATATCATTCCAAATATTATAGTACACTAAACCGAATTACTAGATTCCGATTGTATAAAAAGAGTACAATTAATCTCTAAATAAACTCCGTATATATATGTAGGAGTAACTATTAGTTTGCTATGGGAACCACATAAAAAAAATGTTTAAAGTCATATAACATGTTCATAAAATACTAAAACAGTTGTCCTTAATTGCATATTTTGAAGACATTTGGCCACAGAGACGAGGTTAAGAAATGCCTTTTCTTGGAATATTTTGTTGAGTGGTGTATTCTGAATGAAAAACCGCACGACCTTCTCGTACAATTTGTATGGGGTGCCTTACCTATTCATCAGCTACGGTTGCTATATGGAAAAGAATAAAACCTCTAAACTAGAAGTTTTTCTTGTTTCTTATAGCCTTATACATAAAACCAATTTGTGAAAAGGATGGTTCTGATATGTGTGATGACGTCATCACCGATACATAATTTATGACGTCATATGTCATTTACAAAAATAAACAAGCGTATTTGGTCGGTTGACTTACAACTAAGCACAATTATAGCAAAGACGAAATAAAGTATGGGTTTTCTACGTTAAACTATTGAGAAAATATTTAAATTTAATATTTTCTGCATGATTTGGTAGACTGGCCTCTTCACCGTTGTAAAAAATACCCGTTCATAAACTGAACAACCTGGAAATACTGACTAACTAAAATCAAGATATGTAGGGCTCAAAATCCAATTGGAAAATTTTTCTTATAGAGTCGATCAACACCCAAGATATATACTACTTGCTCAACGAAAGAGACCCTGTGAAACCTAGAATGAATCTTTTACCATGTCTAGGCTTTTCACGGGAGGACTTACTATTCTGAATAAACTTACCTCTCCTGGAAAGTCTTCCCCTCCTGCTACAGCATATGCGGGGACTTTACCGTTGGAAGCCTTTACTCACTTCAAATTGGAAACCGCGGTCTAGTATTATGTAGATAAATAAATGGATGTCAGTAAAGCTCAATTGAACATACCGTGGTATGCAAGCGTGAAAAAATCTATCGGGCTCATATTTTCAGGTGAAGCAGGCATATGTAATACACACCCTCTCACAGCACCTTGCTTTTTATGTAACCAGTTTGCCTTCATATTTCGTTTCTTCAAGTACTATCAATTTTGACAATTTCACCAATACCCTAGAACAATCTCTAATAATCTCTGGGTTGATCAAAAGCAGTGAACAGAAACATCACAGGTCAAACTCCGGACGATATCTTCGTGCAACTGCAGCTTTATACAATCTCGAAAACAGATTTATAAGCTAGTTTTTGCTTCTTTAAATGGCATAAATACCAATCGATATCATTGCCTTGGTCATTGCCAGATTGCAACTCCTTTTGGAGCTAGTTTTGAGCGTACTAAGACTAATGTATATGTAACGTAATATATATATTTAGGTACTGCMTAAAAGCGGAGCTCCCGATACGCAAGTCACAGCAGGGATCGGGAGAACAATTTGAATGAAACTGAACAGGTAAAAATAAGATCGTGAAAAAAATCTTCGATTATATTTTTTATTCGATATGAAGATAATTTTTCCCATAATAAAAGCCATGCAGTGAAATCGAATCGAAATGCACTACATTGTTTGTTTTTTTGTTTTTTGCGCGAGTATACTCTTCCACTTAGCAATTTTGTACACAACTCACCACCACCCCCAGGGGCTAGTTTTGTTCTTGGAAGATTCTTCGACAAGTTTTCAAAGGCCGACAGCTTTGAATCTCTTTTACTTAGAAAAAAACGAAAGATAACGACAGATAATCCAATCCAATATCAAGTTTAGTGAAATTTACCTCGGATGTCTTTCATTGAAATCGAAAATCTGGAGATTTAGGGCAAATCAAGACCAAAAAACAAACTTGTTAAGGTGAGCAGAAAATAAGTTTACTTTAATTACGTCTTTTACCGAACGAGACAAAGTTTACATTCAGTCAGCAAACTTGACAAGAACAACTGAGACAAAATAGAAAATAATGCAAAAAGCAATGCAAAATACAAAATAATGAATTTCTTGTCAGTAAATTGAAGTTTGTAAATATTTTTGAATATTTTTTAGCTTTTTAGAGTGAAAGTCTAGGTCTATACAATAACATCTCTCAACAACACAAATTTAAGCTCATTTTTATAATCATACTTGCTCGAACAGCTTAATAAACAGTTGGATATTTGGTGTAAATTTACATTTCATTCAATAATCAAATAAATCATCTGTAGAAGTAGATATAAAATTATTGAATGAAAGTTTTCTTTGTTTTGCCGATGGGACCCCGCGATAGGAGGCGAACAAACCTGCATTGGTTAAAAACAACCGAGTTGTTAAAGATTTTCAAAGCTAAATAAAGGACGAATATTTGTTGTAATATGTTCTTCGTGTTATATTCCATCCAGTATTAAAATAAATTAAGCTTATCTATAGAAATATTAAAAGTTTTGAGAGAAAGTCTTTGACTTGTCGATTCGTCGATGCTTGTCAAAAAAAAAAGTATATATATATACGATTGTTTGCTAAAAAACACACACCTGAATTCTTGAAGAACACTTCTTGGTCCATCTTTGACTACATGAAAGTATTTTTTAAATTGTTTTTGGTCTATAACTTGTCCTAAAGCGATTGTTTTCTGTGCATTTGAGAGCCGTGTTTGTAAGTATTTCTTTTTTAATATCAAGCGGGATTCCTGTGTTGTGTACACGGACGTACGGACGGACGTACGGACGGAAGTGACGTCACCCAAGCCATGAAAATCAACTCGATATGGTTTACCATTTTTTCTTAAGCATGGTGGCCCGCGCGGGAGCTCCGCTAAAAACCCTTCTAATTATCTTTAAGGAATAATGTTGCCATTTCTTGAAAATAAATTGACAGTATTTTTGATAAACATTGTAGTCGCAGATATTACACAATCTACCTAACTGGAAAATATAAGCCAAATCGATTTGTAGGATTTAAATTAAATTCAACGACTTAATTAGAATATGTATACTTACCACAGTCACTGTTATGAAGATCACTGCGAGCAAAATCAAAAACTTCATCCAAGCAAAAACTTCCCATGTCTGAAATATAAAATTGAAAAAGAGTAAAATAGATTATTTGTCATAATATAACACTGGAAAATTTGTGCGCGTTTCAAATGATGGAAATATCTTGGAAATGGCGAGTTACACCATATATTTTCATACCATGGAGGTTAAAAAAACACAGAAATATCATGGAAGTTTTTTCAAGAGTATGGAGTTACCTTGGGAGTCTTGGAAGTCGCGACTTCCATCATCAGATATTTTCATACCTTGATGATATGATGGAAATTGACATCGGGATACAGTGTAAGGATTTTAAGATCTCTCGTCTCTAGGTTTTAATTTTACCAAAAATAACTATGATCAAAGTTGACTAAAAAAATGCTTTCACTAACTATTTATTGCTTTCTAGTCTGAATGGAAAAAATATTTCCCCAACTGAATCAAAGATTATTACAAATTGTTCTATCGAATACAGGCAACGAAAATTCCTAAATGTTCTTTCGTAATATAGTACACAGAGAATTGATTATAGATATACTTTCTATAATAAAAATAACGAGGGGTTTATTTWTTTTTTTTTTTTTCTTCTTCTTTCTATGTTGCTTACCGGTAACTTTGTTGAACGATGCTTCGGTTTAAGCGGAGTACTTCTCTTTCTTGTCTTGTTCAAAATGGTAACTGAGAGTTTGCCTGATGTTTGGCTTTGATACCAAACTAGTAGACGTGTACTTTAGGGTGTGGGTTGATAATGGATATATAATAGTGGAGCCAATCAGAAAATAGCAAAAAATAATAGTATTTCAACGTATCTTTTTATTCCCATTTGGATAAGCAATAAATGAAACAATACGAGGTAACAATGAAGACTTTACGGAACATGAATTCCTTGTGTTTTCTATAGTAATCAAAGCAAGCATAAGATGGATACGGCTTGGAAATTCAACTATGGAAATAATACATTGTGAAAATGACCAGGCCCACCTATACGGCGAGAACCAATCATTTTGTAGAATAATAACAATGCATTCCAACTTTGGAGAGACTGAGCAGGCCAATCAGAAAGCAACAAAAAACATTAGTCTTTTAACATATCTTTTTATTCCCAAATATAGACCTTTTTACTGCACAATTTTTGAAGTTCGTGCAAGGTAAAACAATAGGTGCGACGACAAAAATTTGCAGTTCTTAGATTCCTTATGTCTTTTTTTGGCAAGCAAAATGCGTGCATATGATTCCCATTAGGGTGATGAATTACTTGTCCCGTGAAAGAATAGTCAAGCTAAAACAATAGGTGCGAGGACAAAAATATACAGTTATTAGATTCTTTATGTCTTTTTTTGGCAAGCAAAATGCGTGCATATGATTCCCATTAGAGTGATTAACTACTTGTCCCGTGAAAGAATAGTCAACGTAAACATTGTTGTTCGGACCCATAAAGTCAAAACTTGAAACTTTTTTCTTTGAGTCGGTTAAAATTTCTTTAACTCGTTCGCTTTCACGCTTCTTGGTAACTGACTATCTTGTGTATGAATTAACTTGTCCTTAAACACATTTGAATAAATTATTTGAATCTCTCGGGACATTTAACAACTCGTCCTCGCTTTGTCCTTAATATTTCACTTGGAACTTTTTTAATTCCTTGTTCACGGGCTTTTACAATTGTAGTAGACACTAATTCCATTGTTTTCTCTTGTTTTCTCTTGTTTTACTTTGACTTTTAGTCGCTGATACCGTACTTCATTTGCTGAATGTAGTCTCGCTTGCGTTATAAGACCGTTGGGATACTCTACGAGACGTTCGACATGAGTAAGTGCTTTGATTAGCGTCGAAATCACAAGGAATTCATATTCCTAAAGTCTTTGTCTTACCTTGCATTGTTTTAGCTTATCCAAATGGGAATAATAAAAAGATATGTTGAAATACTATTGTTTTCTGCTACTTTCTGATTGGCTCAACTATTATCCATTATCATACCACACCCTAAAGTGTACGTATACTTTGGTATAAAAGTCATACACCAAGCAAACATTCAGTTACCATTCTGAACAAGACAAGCTAGAAGCGCAGTATTCCGCTAAAACCAAAGCATCGTTGAACAAAGTTACCGGTAAGCAACATAGAACTAGAAAAAACCCTCAGTTACTGTTATTATAGAAAACATATCTATAATCCGTTCTCTGTTTCCTATCCTAAGGTACGAACATTTAGGAAATTCGTTGCCTGGATTTGATAGGACAATTTGAGATAAATTTTGATTGAGTTGGGGAAATATTTTTGCCTATAAAGATCATTCAGACCAGAAAGCACTGAATAATTAGTAAAAGCCTTTTTTTTTAGTCCACTTTGATCATTTATGAGATCTTAAAATCCTTACACTGTATCCCGATGTCAACTTCCATCATATTTCCAAGGTATGGAAATATCTGATGTTGGAAGTCGCGACTTCCAAGACTTTCAGGGTATTTCCATACTCTTGAAATAACTTCAATGATATTTCTGTGTGTTTTTTTTAACTTGCATATGGTATGAAAACGTATAGCGTAACTAGCCATTTCCAAAATATTTCAATCACTTGGAGCGCGCACGATTTTTCCAGTGTTATATAATGACCAAATAATCTATTCTACACTTTTTCAATTCCATATTTCAGACATGGGAAGTTTTTGGATGAAGTTTTCTATTCTGATCGCATTGGTCTTCATGATAGACAATGCAGTAAGTATACATATCTTTATTAGAATGCTTTTTTAAAAATTTAATTCATTTTGATTTGAGTTCTATATCTTTTCTTCTGTTTTCATTTTACCTTCCCAAACATAGTATTTCAGTTCTTCTCTTCTTTTCGTTAGTTCTCTTTTGTCTTCTCTTCATTTCTTTTCAATTCAAATTTTTCAAACAAAATATGAAGGCGAATTGGTTCCATAAAAAGCAAGGTGGTGTGTAATGCATCTAGGCATGATCTCAACAGTAGCTCCAAAAGGAGTTGCGATTTGGCAATGACCGAGGCAATGAAATCCATGGGTATTTATGCCATTTAAAGAAGCAAAAACTCAGCTCATAAATCTGTTTTCGAGATTCTATAAAGCTGCAGTTGCACGAAGTTATCGTCCGGAGTTTGAACTGTGATTTTTCTGTGCACTGATTTTGATCAACCCAGAGATTATTAGAGATTGTTTTAGGGTATTGATGAAATTTTCAAAATTGATAGTACTTGAAGAAACGAAATATGAAGTCAAACTGGTTACATAAAAAGCAAGGTGCTGTGAGTAAGTGGGTGTGTATTACATATGCCTGCTTCACCTGAAAATATGAACCCAATCGATTTTTTCACACTCGCATGCCACGGTATGTTTGAGCTTTACTGACATCCATTTATTGATCTATATAATATCAGACCGCGGTTTCCAATTTGAAGTGGGTAAAGGCTTCCTACGGTGAAGTCCCGGCATATGCTGTAGCAGGAGGGGAAGACTTTCCAGGAGAGGTAAGTTTATTCAGGACAGTAATTCCTCCCGTGAAAAGCCTATAGACATGCTAAGAGATGCATTCTAGGGTTCACAGGGTCTCTTTCGTTGAGCAAGTAGTGTATATCTTGGGTGTTGACCGACTCTATAAGAAAAATTTTTCAAATGGATTTTGAGTCATTGATTTTGATTTTTTTTTTTTTTTTTTTTTTTTTTTTTTTTTTTTTTTGCTTGGTTTTTTGTTTGTTTCAATTTCACAAATTGGTTTTATGTATAAGGCTATAAGAAACAAGAAAAACTTCTAGTTTAGAGGTTTTATTCTTTTCAATATAGCAACCGTAGCTGAKGAATAGATAAGACACCCCCTATTACGAATTGTAAGAGAAGGTCGTGCGCTTTTTCATTTATAGTATACTCAACAAAATATTCCATTTCTTAACTTCGTCTCTGTTGCCAAATGTCTTCAAAATAAAAAATCAAGGACAAATATTTTAGTATTTTATGACAACATGTTACATGACTTTAAACATACATACTTTCCCATAACAAACTAATAGTTACTCGATTCTACGTATATATATACATATATACAAGTTCAATTAGAGATTAATTGTACTCTTTTTATACAATTGGAATCTAGTAATTTGGTTTAGTGTACTATAATGATTGTCCCATAACACTATGACGTCGCATCAAAACGATCTATTGTTTTAACGCTTAAGATCATGGTCGTCAGAGGAGGCAAAATAGAAGCAAAACGAATTAAATCACAAAAAAATGGTTAATTAGAAGGGGAAAGGTGATAACAGAGAAATGTTGTACTAAATATCCCGAACGAAAGAGAATTTTGCCTAAATTCCTATCATTCTTGCCCATGTAAACAAGCTGTGACGTCATATAGGTCAATTTGAATGATATGAAGTAAAAATAAATAAATGGGATTTAGCAGTGGCATTTCTACAGAGTAGCTATTCACCCACTGTCATTTCAATTGAAATTTAGGAGTTGATTTTTGCGGAGGGAGGAAAGCCCTTGAAGCACAGGAGAGAACCAACAAACAACTCAACTCACATACGACACCGAGCTCAACGGGACTCGAACCCGGGTCGCACTGGTGAGAGGCGAGCGCTCTCACCGCTACGCCACCCGTGCTTTCCGAAGTAGTATATACCCTAATATTTGAGCCCCAGTTTTCAGAATACGTGCACGTTGACCACCATTTATTACACACTACATTTTTTCAGGTTCTGTACGTTGCCAGAATTCAATTGTCCACTGGCCTCACTCCTGGAAAAATGGATCAATCCAGCAACATGGCCCACGCATCCTGGGGAGGAAAGGAGGAAAATAGCTACCACTATGAGATCCTCACTAACCCAGGATGGAAATCACATTTGGAATGGAAAAAGAGCAGTGGCTCCAATCCTCCTGCTAATGCTGTTGTTGGAGGTTCTGATAGCCGTAAGTACCCAAACCAGTAAAATCTTTATCTACTGTATATCATTAGAAAGTCAAAGAAACCAGAAATGTTATGCAGTTAATTAGACTTATTAGCAGATTGATATGATTCTGTATATATTTATTCTATATATCTGTATGTATTTTGTAGGCCAGCCCGTCTACGTGGTCAGGATTCTGTACTCAGATGGCCACATGATCCCAGGTAAAGCCTCCTACACCCAAGGATTGGCACACGTTGGTTATGGAGGCAAGGAATATGTAGCAAGGGAATGGTGGGTGCTGGTTGAATACACCAGGTCAGGACGAAAGAGAGGGATCTCCTCTCGCTTTGAATACCCTGTTTTACAAAGTGTCAAACCCCTGAAGCGAGCTCCCATTCGTGAACAGTGACGAGACCATGGGGGGAAAAATCAATGATTAATCGGTATTTATATTAGAATTAAAAAAAAAAAAAAAAACAAGTTCGTAAGGGCTATAAATAAAGAATACCAATAAAAAAAAAGATAAAGGATGAAATGCTGTAACGAAATAAAAAAGCATCACAAAACTTTAGTGTCATGTTGCTCTTGTTGATATTCTTACATTTCTTTCTTTAGATTTCTCTAATTTATTATATTTGTGTCGCAAAGCCGGACAATCGGAAAAAAGGAGTGGATAAAAGCCTCCACCTAGATTTGCCATTTAGAAGCTGCCATAGGAAAACATTATTCACAGTGGTTTTTGTAGCCTTGATAATTCTTCAAGTGAGCCTTGAAGTGATTGGTGAAATATAAATGTGTGTAGTATTCTCGGTGTCGGAAATAACGTTAGCCTGCGTGGCGTCCTCTTCCCCAATCCCCCAGAGTCGCCACGCAGGCTAAAATAACGTGCGCTATTTGTACCAAAGATTACCAATAATGAGAAAATATAAGTATATTTACGGAAGAATGGTAGGGGTTGCTAGGGGTTAGGTAAAGCCAATAACACTGAAATTATAAAGAATGGGTAGAAAAGAAGATTATAATATTAATATTAAATTACAATATCGATAAGTATCTCTACATATTGGATTACATATATTTGTTTATTTATTTATATTTATACGTACTGTAAATAAGGATGCCAGTTGCACGTATGACGTCACACATATATTAAAATGCAATGACAAAATCACTGCTCATAGAAATGGCGGACGAGCTTTTAACAATTTTCGGAAGTAGAATTAAGACGGGAAAAGTTTCTTTTTCGAACCAATTATTGTTTATTGGTGAATATTATAACCTATTTGAGCATATAGATAATATTTTCGTAAGACCAGCACTTTAAAGGGAAGGAAGGAAAGATTCTAGTCCAGCGACTCGGAAAAATATTATAATCCAGAGCAATAGAACGTAGATTCGTAGTCGAAAATCCAATGCATCTATTTTAAATGTGTAGGGTAAGATCAGGTCAAGAACGAATGAAGCGAAACCCGAGCCAAATTAAAACCACTGACTAGGAGAAATTAAAGTAGGGTGTACAACGAACTGAGGCAAAATGAGTTCAAACAAGAGAGCATAGATAGGAGAAGGATACTTTTTAATATCGCGAGCGGCATGCGATTTCTCGGTTTGGCTATTTTTGAAAATTGGATGCAGTTTAAATTTCGCCTTGCCCTACTCATTTTTTCAGGGTAAGACTCAGTTATTTCATCATAGTCAAAATATTAACAAATGCCAACTGCAAAGAAAACAATGTATAACTTCAACAATACAAACACTTAAATGTCACAGATTTTACATGAAAACAAACTTCAGACTAAACCCGAGTAACAGAATTGGAAACTGGTACTAAAATTAAAATCGGCTTCACCAATACAAAAACTTCGAAATGTCACACTGAGACTTTCCCTAGAGCACATGAATAGCTATGAATTTCGAACACAAAGTCTAGGTTAACCCTAAGGCACAAAACAACAGACGGACATCGGACAATGGCCGCCCAGAATTGGAACTTGTCCGTTGAAATATTTGTCTTCCCGGTCATTTTGACCAGTAACGTTGAGCCAAAAAACTAATTTGGCGTATCATCATGACCGGCCAATCACCGGCCCTGTAACACTGAGCTCGAGTACACTGTGTTCTTTAATATTCAAATAAGACACGGTTGGCTTTTGCTTTTGTGAACACTGCGGTCCCAATTACAATATTTTATTAACATGTTGTTTGTAAGACCTGCCTATAACATTTCGGTGTTATGTTTTTTTTTACAATAGAATAGACCATTTCTGAATTCCCTTCCACAGTAAATGTATTTGGCTGCATGAAGACAACACAAAAGCTCAGTTAGCTTCCTAATGGAGGCATAACCTAACCAAGGCTTTGTGTTGGGCTTGGAAACTATAAATGTATGAACACATGTTGTTTAACCTCGACTTCGAGCCATTGTTTTGTGGTCATTGAAGTGAATTTGGAAAAGTCTTAGGCCTAGGGCAAACGTCGAACTTTCCATGCACCGAACTTAATTACATCAAAGAATGCCGCCTCATTATCACCTGATATCCATTGTTTTTAAAGAGTTCGGTGCATGGAAAGTTCGACGTTTGCCCTAGGCCTTAATTATGCTTAAAAGTAAAGGCAGTGTAACTTTTAACTTAAAGTCGAGTACATGACTCATTGACTAGTCTTGTACCATGAGAATGTGGCTAAGCATTTGTTTCCAATGGTTGGTAATCTGTTGGGAGATAAAGAACCAAATGAATTGTTAGAAATAGCCAGTGTTATTGCCATAGTGGAAATTCGCAAAGCGCAGTAAAAGTAGTATATTCAGCACCGTTCGAGCCCGGTTTTTGCGCCTGAAATGCGCCTGAAATGCGCCTGAACCGTTCGCGCTCCTGATTGGTCCATTTGATAAGTCGGAAATGACGTCAGGATTGCGCCTGAACTCATTTGCATTGCGCCTGAACTGAAATAGATTCCTATTGGTCCGCTCGAACAGGTGGAAATGTATGACGTTACAATTTATTAGCATTGCGCCTGAACCGCAAGTAATTATATGTTGAAAGGAGCAATCTTTATCATTCTTCCTCTCCTCCTTGCCCTTACGATATCACGTAGTTACCGATCAAGAGAACTAAACCATGAAGTTGAGAAGTGGTCGTGTTCTCAAACCTGTACTGTTCAAACGCAGAACAGGACAAAAAGCAATAGCAAATCTCGTGAAACAAATGAGAAACTTAAGCATTGATGAAAAAGACCAGAGAGTTGAAACTGAGGTTATGGGGGACCTAAAGACATTTTTCAGATTTTTATTCTATCAATGCTGTGAAGACCTTGGAAACAAAGTCAGGTTGACGGACATAGAAAGAGTCCAAGGACGAAAGCCAAATTTTTACGAATTGATAAACTGGAAAGCAGATAAGTTCTTTTGGCTAACGACCTTCCAGGAAGCCCTGCGTCGTATGCAATTCAGACTTCCCTTGCCAATATTTTTAGAAGCTTTTGATGTTTTTATGAAGTATGAACATGTTTCAGAAGATCCCGAGTGCCTAAGACCAGTCCTGAGAAACTACCTCAACGAACTTTACAATAATAACGACAGTGAAAAAATGATTCAACTGATGGAGGAAATAAACCAAGTCAAAAGCCATGCCTTTTCAGTATCTGACAAGAAAATCTACCTCCAAGAGCTTGCTAGTGACTTGGCATCACAAATCGTCAACCCTTGGTTCACCAATCACTCCAATATCATATCTTGGGATGATTTTTTCCAAAACTCCAAATCAAGAATTTGCTATATCCCTGAAGCCAATGGTGGGCGTACTGTGAGAAAACTGCTTCTCGCGACATGCAATTTTTCCATGTTTTCAAGCCCCAGCTACCAATACAGGATTCTCAAGACTGGAGAAAGTTTCACTAGCCCCGAAAAAGACATCCGCAAGGCATTTTTCCTCCACAAAAAGTGTACGGATAAAAATGCCCAACCCATTGCATGACATTCAGAGAATTT